TTGCTATCCCTCTCTGAATGTCTTTGTCCCTCTCTCTCTCTGTTCTATCGTCTTTTCTCAATGGCAGGTACGGCGCCAGGCGTCTTTGACTACTTCAACCCTCAACTCTCTCTCTTGCATCTGCGGCCAGGGCGCATGATAATGCATCCGCGTTTCCACAACAGCCCGAATGGAAAATGGTGTTGATGCTGGGCTGCGGCTTGACTTTTTTACTTCCTACAGTTCCAAAATTGGACTTGTCATTTCGGTCCCCTTCTGCCGTGGCCACAGCCGGTCTCAATGATTCAGACGTTATTAGGACTTTCCTAAGAATGAGCTGCAACTGACCAGGACTGGCGCGCAAGCGGTATGTAACGACTGACTCCTACAGAACCTACCCCGCCGGTTTCTGTATGGTCTGCTTTACGATACCTACCGGAGTGTAGTAGTGCAGTCTATGGAGGGGTCTATGGTACAGAGAAACTGGGACTGATTACTGAGAGTTAACTCTTATACGCATGGATCCTTTCACTTGCGTTTTCTCACATTTGAATTTTACACCGTGGATGGAGAAGGATCGTAACTCAACAAAGCTATAGACCCGTGTTTGTGCAAACCATGATGCTCCACTTTTCCTGGCCCGTCCTGGGGAATACCGTCTTATTTCAATACCATCTTGCGAAGCATCGCTAAGGAAACGTGGTGCACTGGTTGTCATGAAAGGTATGTGAAGGCACGGTTAGGTGGTATCACATGTAATAGCCAATGTAACGTCACAAACTGCCCTGTGAAGTTTTTTCTTATGAGAAAACCTCCCTCCTATGCCACCTTGCAGAAGGTCACCGGGAAGAGAGTCTGGATTTTAAGGAGGATCATAAGGGTCGTGCAATGCAAGTCAACGTGCCACTTGATATACGCAGTTCGACTCAGTGTGTGAGCCACCTCCAGGGGCCCATTCTGAGATGGCAGAGACCTTGTGCACTGTGAACATGTTCACCAGAATCATGGCAAGGGAGAATGGGAGAAACATTAGCCCTTCCAAAATAAGGAACGAGGATACGGTGAAGATCAGGGATGATGTTAAGCAGATGAAAGATTCCCATACGTATGGTACATTCCTGGAAATCAGCAACATTATTGCTCATCGCGATGCCATTACGGCACATATTAACAAGGGAGAGGCAGAGATAGCCATGCTGGAGAAAGGTGCAGGTGGAATATGCCCCAGCAGCAAGCCCATATATCCTCAAGTTCGGCTGGTGCTCCCGTCGTTCCCGGACTGTGACCCTACGATTGCATTTACCGTTCTTCCGTACTCTCAGACGGACGGAGGTGATGACAAACTTGTCGATCTTTGTGACCTGCCACGCCCCAGGGTAAAATTTGTGGGGATTGGCAACAACGCGGTGAAGACTGCATTCAAGGTAGCAGGCTTCAAAAGAACCAAGAACAATAATTGGCAGGCGTTGTGGAGCGGAGGATCTTTAAAGACGGAGTACTTCAAGCAGCTCAACGCGTATCAAAAGGTTAACCATTTCCCAGGAACCTGGGAGGTTGGTAGGAAGGACAAACTGTACAGTCATATTGCCTATATGAAGCGACGACATCCAGAGGACTTCAATTTCCTTCCGCGATTCTTTGTGCTTCCCAAAGATTCTCGGGACTGGTTCATTGATTTTGAGAGACAGCCACAGGTGTGCTACATAGTGAAACCGAAAAATTCTTCTCGTGGTAGGGGAGTGCATCTTCTCCGGAAGCCAGCAGAGCTCCAGCAGGGAAAGGAGTGCATTGTGCAGCACTACATCATCAATGCTGCATTGATTGAGGGTTACAAGTATGACCTTCGCTTGTATGTTGTAGTGACTTCTTTCGACCCTCTGCGTGTGTACCTCTACAAAGAGGGCCTTGTCCGTTTTGCAACTGAGAAGTTTACGCTCGATCACAAAGGTTTGAGGCAGAAATTTGCCCACGTAACCAACTACAGTGTGAACAGGAAAAACAGCAAGTTTCAGCAGAATCAGCACTCCTATCAAGATGGTCATGGTTCCAAGTGGAGTCTCTCTGCGCTGCAAAAGTACTTGGCATCTCAGGGAGTTCCGTTTGGTCCCATCTGGAACCAAATCTGCGACATTGTGCTGAAGACAATGATTGCAGTGGAGCCTCAAATTAGCACTCTTTGCCAGCTGTATGTACCGAACAGATGCTGCTGCTACGAACTGTATGGATTTGACATTGTGTTGGATTCAAGTTTCAAGGCCTGGCTGTTGGAAGTCAATACAGGACCAGCATTGCAGTGTCCCACAGCACTCGACAGACACATAAAGTATAGAATGGTGGCAGATATGCTACACTTAATAGGCTTTGTGCCATTCAACAGGGAGAAGTTCAAGCAGCAGGAGGAGGCCCTAAGGCAAGCAAGGCTGATGCGAGGCAGCATATTTGTCAAAGGAAAACGGTCAACGGTTAAGAGCTTGGATTCAGTACAATATACTAGCATGGTGGGACCAGACCTACCTTTTGTCATTCAAGAGGGAGAAAGTGAGTTTATTAGACGAGGACAATTTGAACGTCTATACCCCAGGGAAGACTGGGAGAGGTATGGAAACCTTTTTGAGGTGCCCCGATACAACAATATCTTGTACTGTCGTTGGTTGGAGGCCCACTCAGGCTCAAGCGCAAGAGAGTATGATGGCTTGAAGAAAGATGAATGAGTTATTCACGTGTCCCCCTCAGAGTGCTCTGGATGACCATCATGTTCCACTCGGCATGACTTTGTGATCCTTGAGCTGCTGACAGAACTGTTGATTCACCGCCAGGCCTCAAAACCCATCCAATTTGTAATCTTAAGGGCTTGAAAATAAAAGTTTAATAAATGTTAAACCACCCCCACTTCCAAGCCTTTTTTCCCCAACGCGGATTTCTGCTTCACGCTGATAAGAAACAAACCGGCACACTCTTTTCAAATGTTTACTTCACGCTGATAAGAAACAAACCGGCACACTCTTTTAAAATGTTTACCTTGTACCGCCAGCCATGTTGGGCCGGTAGGCCAAGCCCGGAAGGTCAGCATGCGTTTCCAGCTGCATTGGAACAAAAAAGGTTGGGAAAAGTGCTGGTGGTTTAAGGGCTATCTACACAAACACAAAGAGAAAAGAAGCTACCAAATAAGAAATGTGATCAGCCCAATATATTCCAGAATCCATAGGTTGCAACGAGTCCACAAATTCACAGTGCTTCTCACTCCATGACAAGTTCACACTTCATCACACTAGGCTCCACACATGAGATGCAAATCAACATCAGGTGAGAACGTTTCGGACATTGCACTGACATTCAACATCTTATACAACACTCTCTTGTATACAGACTCCGGCGGCTATGGCGGTGGCCAAACAACCTCAAAAGGTATGGCATCCTCTCTCTCTCAGCCTATACCCCAAGGTCTCTCTCTCTTTGTGCTAGCTATGGGTGCCAGGCATTATGGACTAAGCAACGCTACCTGTTCGTGCACTAACGCAGTAGCACTTCCGCCTCCAGCAGGCATCGAATATGGACTTTTGTGAGAATTGACTTCCCTTGGCGTTGGATTTTCGGGTACCGAACCCTGGCTTGCATGGCTGCGGGTGGGCTCTGACGTCTTGAAAGGTTCCCTGACTTACTTGAGACTTGGCGGCTGAGTGGACTAGGACTGACAAGTTGAATAGACCCGACTTCTAGTGGACTCGACTGACTGTGTAGGCTGGCCCAAGGGCCCTCGTGGAAGTCAGATATGATGGTCTACAGACCTACCGGTTATGGGACTGTACGTGACACACAAAATTGTGGTAGAAGGGACTGAGACCGGAAATGGAAATGGACCCGGAACTCTGACCGGGACCTGATACGGCTAAATCCTTTTCACTCCCGCCAACCTTAAGTTTGAGGTCCTCCGAGAAGTTCTAAACTTTACATTCGATACGAGATCCGCATACTCCTAGCTTACTCGTAGTGTGACACTATCTTAGGGGTGGTGGTCTCAGTTAGTTCAATCCTTGGGGTGCATCAGTCGCCTTTGGTGCTCGATATTGGGGTCTACTTTTGTACTGCATCTGTGGTCATATTCTCCTTCCCGTCTAGTAATTCTCCTTATCGACGATATGGACCATGTCCTAGCTGTTGTCCATATCAGGGAAGATCGTTTGCCTGGGCGAGGGGTACGAATTATCCGTCAAACAGGGCAACAACTTAGGAGCATGCTAAGGTCCACTGTATCCAGGCAGCAACTTCTGAGAGATTTCTTCCTCTGGTAGGAATTCTTTGGGCTTTTTACCCATACATGATCGCCAATGACGAACTGTGACAGCCTCGCATGTTTGTTAGCCTGCTCTCTCTGTCATCTTTTCTTGGGCAACAAACTCTTGAATGACAAGTTCGCTTCTAACTTCGCACAAATCATCATCACTTGACTGTTCTTTTTTCTACTCTTAAACCACCAGTACATGGCCCCAGGGAACTGGAGAACCTGTTTTGAGGCTCTCCGAAAAATTAGGAGGCACCCAACAGCCTAGCTCAGTGGGTACACCCATGAACTGTTGAAATACAGACCCAAGTTCGAATCCAGATGATGGAACGTGACGAGTAAAACCAACTACTAATGAATTGCTTGGGGCCGGTCAGCTCAATGATAATATCTCAAGGCCGTCGCCCTTTTTTTTTCTTTTTTTTTTTTAACTTAGGAGGCCGAGCGCCGTAGATAAAATGAATCGACGGTGGGCAGCCTCCGAAAGGGGCCGCGACCGATAGCTGGCATGTACTGGCACTTTAAGCTTGGTATCCATAAAGTCAATAGAGACTGATTCTCTGGGTCGAGAGAGAATGGGCAATGGTTTTTGGTAAGCATGGGGGGGCTTGTATCATGCCCTTATGTTGTTTGACAGACTTTGCACCCACGGGTGTATTCGATAACAGTCTAATTTCATACCTGCCTAAATAAACAAACCCAGCATGCTTGCATGCCTTTCTCCATCCAAAATGTCCCTTCGCATTATGGCACTCTCTTAAGATCGTACTACAAATCTGCTCATCATTTGGAATAGACAGTTACTCTTTTCCTCTGGATGTCAGAGCAGTCCGGCAACCATTTTATATTCGAGGGCATCTTGGGGTATGTTCTTTACACCGTCAAGTTGGAGTCAATTACGTCACTAAGTAGGGGTCTTTTGTGTATCCATTTCTTTTTTCTGCTGTGATTCCTGTCTGACACTGGTATGAAACTATGGACTATAAATTGTCTGCTGTAGGGCTATGCATGCCCCTCGTTTGTTGGACGAGCTCTTGAGTGATGTTTTCGAGCCGGCTGTTCAGTGATGAACGACAGGTTGAATGAGCCTTATTCATAGAAGCATGTTGCCTTTCCTTGTGGATTACCCCCCCATTTTTTTGGGATTTCTTTTTTTTAGAGAGAAGGCCTTTCATTGCCCATTGGGGCCTGACGAGAGAGAGAGAGAGAGAGAGAGAGAGAGAGAGAGAGAGAGAGAGAGAGAGGCGGACAGGCAGGCAGGGAGGCAGGGAGATAGACAGGGAGGGAGGTGGTAGAGGAGTGAAGGAGCTAGAAAGCATGCACGATGCATGCACCGGGGGGGGGAGGAGAGAGAGAGAGAGAGAGAGAGAGAGAGAGAGAG